TCATGGCTAGTGGATCAGCATCATTGATAGTGGATCAGCACCATGGCTAGTAGATCTACATCAAGGATTGTGGATCTACATCATGGATAGTGGATCAGTATCATGGCTAGTGGATAAACAACATGGCTAGTGGATCAGCATCATTGATAGTGGATCAGCATCATTGATAGTGGATCAGCATCATGGATAGTGGATCAGCATCATGGCTAGTGGATCAACATCATTGATAGTGGATCAGCACCATGGCTAGTCGATCAGCATCAAGGATTGTGGATCAGCATCATGCATAGTGGATCAGCACCATGGCTAGTGGATCAGCATCATGGCTAGTGGATCAGCCTTATGTTGGAAGAAAAACATTGTGACACTGCTGGCATAAGGGTCAGTACAGGGGCAACTCGGGGGCAACTCAGGGATTCAAACCATGACAAGGCAAAGGAATCCTGGCAGCAGCAAAGGGACATAACTCTGCACAGCATGTTGCACCTACTTACAGGGGACTGGTGTGATTCAAGTACATCTGCTTGTTCAAATGTCATGATGTCTGTGAATCAGTCAACAGATACAGTGTGTCAGTATCACTCCCGGAGGCTACTACAAAATGGAGGCCGAGGCTGAAACTGGGCGACCCATGACAAACCTCATGGAGACTTGGATGTGATTCCCGGTTGATGATGCAGGTGTTACCCTGGAGATGACAACACACGGACCACCAGGATGTGTGGACAGTGGGAGCTGTGTTATGTCAGCGTAGTCAGTGAGCTCACAGTATTGGTGTTGTCATAAAAACATCTGTTGTGTTGGCAAGGATGATGATCAATATAAACATCTACAGTGCAGTCAGCACGATCTGTACAGGCCTTAAAGGGAGACTCTGCTCAACAGTCAAGGGCCCTTTACCAGAGAAAGTCTAGGAGTTGTGTGCAACCAAGAGGTCTCTGTGTAATTAACATAAAAGTTGACTACAAGTTAGGGATACATCTTATTAGTTGAGTGTGTCTCGTCTGACCTAAATCAAACTTGTTAGCACTGTCTATTGTACTGAGTCTAGTCTCATTCTAAAGCTTAACATCATATTAACAACAACAACAACAACAATAACACCAATAATAATAATTATACTAATAATAAAAAAATTAAAAAATATTCCCTAATCATAAGAAATCCCTATTAAAAGTCCCTTGCATTGTTCTGACTGTATCATAAGCATGTGTTTATAATTATGAATCACTTTTAAACAGTGATGATACCAGGTGTTTGTGAAAAGATAGCGTATCCTGCCCCACCGGTGCACCTGTCAGGAAGTGAATATGAAGAATGGGTTGCACTCAATGTAAAGAACTTGAGTCTTTGGGATGACAATCTAATGAATGCTCCTCCGATCACCAGGCAACCCCTTTCAGAAATGTACATGAAGGTTAACTATATCAGCTGTGCATCCACTTCAGCATCACCCACTTTATTGTATGGCATGTACATCAGAGGTATATTAATACCCAAGGCCGATATGTTTACAATTTCGGACCATACCTGATTGCATGTTGGGACCAATTGACTCGATGAAAACCCGAGAAAATTACCAGGAAATGTGATGTTCAAATAAATCATCATTTGTTCACGAGGACTGGACGAGAAGATGTTGAATTATAAATGGACTAGGAATGGCCTCAGTGGCTTCCAATGGAAGAATGTCTTCCTTAGTCGTATGTTTATAGTTTCTGAGCTATTGTGTCTGTCTGTAGGGGACTTGTGGCCGATAGATCGCCATCTGGGGTCCACGGTCCCCCAGGGCAAGATGGACTAATAATTGTAGCCCTTCACACTAGGCATTGCTTCTGATGGAAATAGTTGTTAGGGAATATAAATACATTGTACCACGATGTTGCCGATTTTTATTGTGTATTAAGTGATAATGATGACTTAATGAAATCGTAAAATAGTTTTGTGATGTTTGTTGAGATAATGAGTGGCATTAAGACTGGTTTTAATGTAAAATTAATGGTTAAAGTACTCTGATTTCAAAAATGACAAAGTTGTTTATTATACAAAATTAGGTGTAATTTTTGTGTAAAAAGGTATCTCAATTTGGCTGTTTATTCTCTTGTGATAAAATTGTTGTATGATAAAACTTTGTAAACTCAATGACAATAGAACCCTTTCATCTGTAATGACGGTATTGATTTATTTGTGTTAATATTTTTAAGTACAAGCTATTCTGCAACTACAATTATTCACGATAGAGGCCAAATTTGTGAGGAAACCTCTTTAAATTTCATTAGAGTGCAAATGTAGATATACTACTCAAAATAAGTTTAAGAACACCATGGCCATGACAGATGAACTGTAGTCATAGGGACAGTCTTTGGAGTAGTACATATCAGATACAGTAAACTATGTTTATAAGGAACATGCTTATAACTAACTGACAGATATAACAGACTGTGTTTTGATCCCTTCCATTTGCTGTAGATATCCTGTGTATAAATCAGTTTTAGTTTGTTTGTTGTTTAACACCGCTCTCAGCAATATTCCAGCTGTAAATAATCAAGTCTGGACCAGACAATCCAGTGATTGACATCATGAGCACCATTTCATGCAATTGGGATGTGATGACGTGCATCAAACAAGTCACCGAGCCTGACTACCCGATCCTGTTAGTTGGCCCTTATGACAAGCACAGCTGCCATTTACGGCAAGCATGGGTTGCTGATGACCTATTCTACCCCTGATTTTCACAAATTAGTGGCCCCTTTGAGTGTGTTATAACCGTAGTTTACTGAACTTAAAAGTGGTTAAAACTGACAAAACTGTAGGAAATTTCAACCAAGCAGCCCTCAGTTGAATTGTGCAAATTACTACAACTGAAAAGAGGTCGAAATTGAGAGAACGCCCCTTTAAATCTCTTTTCATCCCAGCAGCCAAGTTTCTCAGTTCTCATCCCAAGAAAAGCTCAGCATCCTGTAAAGCTAGCCAATTCTCCAAGCTTGATAATTACGACAAGAAAGGTCATTTCCAGCCAGGGTCTCCCTGTGATCCAACTTGTTGTCTACTTTGATGATCACTGTATTACAGACATTGATTTGAGTTTTTTCCTGCGGAGAAATCTAGTACCTGATTAGCCCATGCTCTTCATACCCTGATGAGGAGAGCCGGTCTTTAGAGACTTGTCCAATTTCCGTTAGCTGTGTTTCACTGACCGAGCATTGTTGTAAAACACTTTCTTGTACATGGTGTTGCAACGTACAAAGAAGGTTTGGCATTAAAGGGACTCAGCCATTGTGATGTAGCTGTAGTGTTTCATCACAGTGCATGTAGCTTTAAAAATGTGTTCAAGATAAAGATGGTTTGGGTTTCATTAAAAGGGCTCTGCCACTTTGTGTAAAATAAGTTCTGGGGTAGTGATTGAATTGGATTCACTAAAGGGGCCCCACGTGACATATTATGTAAGATGTGTTCTGGTGTTGTGATTGAATTGGCTTCATTAAAGGGGTGCCTTGTGTCATATTATGTAAGATGTGTTCAGGGGTTGTGATTGAATTGGCTTCATTAAAGGGGCGCCCTGTTTCATATTATGTAAGATGTGTTCTGGGGTAGTGGTTGAATGGGTTTCATTAAAGGGGCACCCTGTTTCATATTATGTAAGATGTGTTCTGGGGTAGTGATTGAATGGGTTTCATTAAAGGGGCACCCTGTTTCATATTATGTAAGATGTGTTCTGGGGTAGTGATTGAATGGGTTTCATTAAAGGGGCACCCTGTTTCATATTATGTAAGATGTGTTCTGGGGTAGTGATTGAATGGGTTTGTTTAAAGGGGTGCCCCGTGTCATATTGTGTAAGATGTGTTCTGGGGTAGTGGGTGAAAGGGTTTGTTTAAAGTGCTATTTAGACCCCTTTATCTGATAGTCTTGCACTCGACTCCGACACTCCGACCTAATTTACAGCAAATTACCGAGCTCAATCATTAATCAGTCTCGTTTATCTGACACAGTGATCAGTGTACTCCGTGGTCAACTGCCCGCGAGTACACAGACCTGTGTTTTGTTGCGAGACAAGTCAACTAGTAGCTGCATATTACCACGGCTGCAGAGATAAACTTGCTTAACAATAAAGAATTAATGTTTTAATAATATCACATGCTTAGATTACCTCAATCTCATAAAAATCAGATACAAGTTCTCGCAACACTGATGACATCCCATTACAGGTCACGTCAGATCCACCTTTTGCAAACCAATGAAATGACTAACAGGAAGTCAACATAAGCCGCTAAGAAAGCAGCTTTCTTGAGCTTCCCTGCACTATAGTTTCAAACTGGTAACTTCCATTCCAGACTGTGCTTTCAAAAGTAATTTTTAATCAGTCAACAGTTGTTTTGTGTTAACCTCAGAGGTTGCATGATTAGAAAACATATTCCGCTAAAAATGTAACATAACAATATGAATATTTCATTTTTCATTTTTTTATTACGTGTTTATATCATTATGTATCGTGTAGTCACGAACGTTGATACTACTTAATTTTGTTAATCCCACATAATCATATGCATTTTCATTTTACCAACCATGTTGGATTAACGGGACTTCAATGTGTAATGGACTGTGTCAGTATTTATTACATCTCTTCCAAGGTAGCGATTTTAGTTTGTTGAAGGGACACCAGGTGGCATTGTCTTACATGGAAAGGTTGTCTTATCCCTAACCAACATACTAGTTTTACTAATCCCAACAAGACCGAATCTGAGGTCGGAACTTATTTGCTGACATCTCTTAGAGTGATGCGCACGTTAATCAAATTTGTTAGTATTTTTTTATACTGATACCATTGTTTTAAAATGGACTCATGGCATCAGTTGGGTAGTCAAGTGGTTCAGTTATGTCCTCCAAACACCAGAGTTTGATTCCCTATGTAGGTACAGTTGATTATATTTCAGCAGTAGTATTGAAATTAGGGCTAAGTCATTTTCACTGATTCTCCCTTTAAATGCCAACTGTACTTTCAGCCTGCCGTGACTGCAATGTGACGAGACTGGTGTACACCAGCACCTACAATGTTGTCTTCGGGGGGCAGGAGATCCGCGACGGAGATGAGAGTCTGCCCTATCTCACAGAGGACAAGGTAAGAAACAATCACTAGATCTGTGGACGTATTCACAATTTGCATCTAAAATTCCATTCAGATGACATTTTTCTTGTAATTAGTAAAGGTAGATATCCCCCCAAACAACCCTCTCCCTTTACTTGCTCCATCATTCATGATGTCACTAATTTGTGAGTGAACCGAATTATCTCATACCCTGCCGACAGCCTTACAAATGTATCATGTACTGCAGTGTAGTTGCATAGACTGGTGCCTGGCTGTATTTGCATTGCATCACATTCATGATGTCACTTATTTACTAGTGAACTAAGTTATCTCATACCCTGCCGACAGCCTTACGAATGTATCATGTACTGCAGTATGGTTGTATAGACTGGTGCCTGGCTGTATTTGCATTGCATCACATTCATGATGTGTTGAGATGTATTGATGTCTTGATCTATCCTTCTTGGCCAAGGCTGGGTGATAAATGACTTTTTAGGTCTAAAGGAATGTTTTAAGCCGTGATGGGAGAATGGCTGGTTCAGTTGTCTAAGGCACCAGAATTCACTGTGCAGAGTTGTGACCCTTAGGCATGCCTGAAACCTATCATCATAATCCCTGATTCGCCGGGCTTATGTTTCTAGGTTTGTCAGCACCATACTCATGATACAGTTTGCGCGCCATTTTTTTTTTTATCACACCTCAATGAACCAGAATACAAAGCCAATGCTTAAATAAACTTCAACACAAATTTCTAGTTTACGTCCTGTTTACAAGTTGCCAGAATCCAGTAGGGAAGGGCTTACATTTAAGTGGAACGTAATGAGCACCTGCAATTGTGTCGATGACATCATCAGTAGTTTCTGCAATGTTGCGTCTTCCCAAGGCAAGAGAGTTAACTGACTGTAAAATTCCAATTTCCACCCTTGCTGAACTAGGCTGGAATTTCTGGGCTCCATCGTGCCACCAGTGGCTATTACTAGTTTGGCAAGGGTGGAAACTGGACTTTTATAGTCAGTCAACTCCCATGCCTCAGGAAGATGGCCATGTTGGTGCAGTGTTTGGTTTAATGATGAGTTCCCTTTCATTCAGAGATGGTCTGACCTGTTTGTATCAGCGACAGAATGAGCGTTACACAAACATGTACAATGAGATTCGGTTCAGAAAGTGTCTTGATGCGAGGAGCATTGGTGAAGAACAGATCTTGTTCATATCGATCAACGCCTTCCAGCTTATCTCACAGGTAGTCAATTGGATTGACGATCAATGCTTCCAAGCACCAAGCGCCCTCTTACAACATAATAATACTCCCCCCACTCGTCAATCCAATTGACCACCTGTGGGATGAGCTGGAAGGCATTGACCGTCAATCCAATTGACCTCCTGTGGGATGAGCTGGAAGGCTTTGATCGTCAATCCAATTGACCACCTGTTGGATGAGCTGGAAGGCTTTGATCGTATATCCAATTGACCTCCTGTGGGATGAGCTGGAAGGCTTTGATCGTCAATCCAATTGACCTCCTGTGAGATGAGCTGGAGGCATTGATCGTCAATCCAATTGACCTCCTGTGGGATGAGCTGGAGGCTTTGATCGTCAATCCAATTGACTACCTGTGAGATGAGCTGGAAGGCGTTGATGTCAATATTTAGCAGGACCACAGAATCTTCAACAATTACACCAAGTTCTTCAGGAGGATGGGCCATCATTCCACAAGGTGTCCTCCGACGCTTCCTGGTTCCATGGGCAGGAGGTGTTATGCAGTCATTCAGGCCTGTGGTGGACACATGATACAAGGCTTTACGACTGCCATGCTTCAGATAGTGACTAAACCGGCCTTGCAAATGTTTGATAAACTCTGTTTCACTTTGTAATCACCAAAAAACTCATCCAACATATCACTTTTGAGTGAGTGAGTGAGTGAGTGAGTGAATGAGTTTGGTTTAACACCACATTGAAAAGTATTCCAGTTATGTCATGGTGTGTGAGCTTAATGTGGGAGAAAACCCCAGAGTGTTGCAGGTCTCAGAAGATTCTATACCCACAAGCATGGGTATGGTGCTGACAAACCTAGAAACATAATTCAACTGGGATTCAAACGCACAATCATAGGTTTCTTACATGATCAAGGGATGCAACTCTGCACAGCAAATTGCAGCACCTTAGACGACTCTGCCACACATCCCCCCAATCGCTTTGCCTTGTAGAAGTCACAGAATGAATCTCTAGACAACCATATATTTCATTTCTTTCATCATTAATTTTTAACACAGGCTAATGAATATAGGTGTCTAAAATATAGAATTAGTTTACATATTGACAGACTTAATCCAAACATAATGTTAAAGAGTGACCGCTGAAGAGACCTAATAGCTATGAATAAATGTATTTTTTGCTCCTTTGATGTCTCGTCAACAAGGCCTAATTTGAAAATAGATGCCATCTGCTCCTAATACCTTTGATATCTCACAGATATTTATGAGATATTTTGACATCCTTCATAATGTTCGTCAGTCAGACAAGCATCAAAAGCTAGACTATGTCGCCATCATTTCGTTACCATACCTATATCATAAATATTGTAATTGAAGTGATATTAGGTGCGGAGACAATATTGTCACAACTAATTTCTCTGACTTCAGTCAGCAGGCCGTCTGGGCAGGCTGGCAATAGACATTTTAATTCAAGATGAGATCTTTGTACAGGGAATTTCTAGATAATCGTACCCCCTTGCAAGACATTATACTTGCAGCTCGATTGAATACGGACGATCTCCTGAGATGCCAGATAATGTGATACTAATCCAAATCCATCTGGGAGAGAATCTTCACAACCCAGACTCCAGAGGGATTTGGATTCTGTAATGATATCATGTAATTTGTTGTAATTACTGATTTCTGAATGACCTTCACTGTATTGCAAGAATTGTTTGGAGGTCACTGCACTTCAGTCAGAACCAGTGGTCTAATGGTAGAGCATCCGCCCGGAAAGAGGAAGGTCTGGGGTTTGATCCCTGGGTGCGTCATACCAAAAGATGTTAAGAGATGGTAGTTGTTTTTTCCCTCCCTGGTGCTTGGCATTAAGGGGCTAAAACAAGGATTGGTCGGCTCGGAGTCAGTATACTGTGTCTGAGTGGGGTATTCATGTTAAAACTGTGGCATGGTATCACAGTGTGCTAACACTATAAAATCGGAATTAGTCCGGACTAGTACATGCAGACAGACAGACAGACACATTGCAATAATATTTGAGGCGACATTAAACCCCATTTCACCCCATCTCACCTCAATTCAGTCACTGAAAGATCAAGGGGATAGAACAAAGGAAGTAGATGCTTAGACATTGGAGTTGTAGGATGTTGTGTTTGTTAGCATGTTGTGCATCAGGTGTTGAGGGAGTGGCTATATGAATTATCAATGTCTAGAACTTATAAATGAATTGCAAATGATTCCATGGCATTTGATTGGCTAACCGAGCCTTTTGCTTTTTGCATTTATGTTTCCTTAAACCAGAAAAATACATAGGCCACACCCACTAATAATGATAAAAAAATGGGCAGGACTTGTGTTGAATTATTGCGCTGAATTCTGTCACCAATTTTGTACAGTTGTCTACAGTTTTTTTGTGTTCAGTTTCATAAGTATAATAAACAGTCGTGTAGTTATTATTGTTCACTTATATATATTTTTAAGAATTTATTAGAATTGTTTGATAGGCATTACTTAGAAGTTGACAGATGACAAAGTAGACACAATTTATGGATAACAACATCTTTAATACCGAAACATGGCCTTTACAGTATTAAAGAAGTTGTTATCCATATTGCAAGATAATTCCCTTGTATGTCATGCCAAAAAATATCACAAAGTGTCTTGGGGATTTAATGTGAAATTGAACATACATATTCAATATGTTATTCACACTTTGCTTCTTTTCTGCATCCTAGTTCACAGAATATTATTCACTGACGAAGATGCATTCCGAGAAGAAGGTTCTTGGCGCCAATGGTTCCCAGACAGCAGATGGCAGTGTGTTGCATACATGTGCTCTTAGACTGGCTGGTGTATACGGACCCGGGGAGCAGAGACATATCCCCAGGATTGTGGTCAGTGGAACACATTTTTTCTTATTCATCTTTTTAAACTCAACTTGCCCAAAGAGACGTCTATAGACATCAGTATCCATAGAAAGGAAAGACACATTTACAATTTCTTCATCACTGCTTAATGAACTGATGTGAAACTTGGTGTAGTCCTTTCCGACAGTCAGGACATTTAGGTTTTTTCAAAGGATCAAAATTGAAAATTCATTATGGTTGCCAGACCTGAAACAAATGTGAATTGAAAACGTGCATGGCAATGTGTCCTGTATCAGTGTGTAATATGGCAGCAAGAGTGTATTATGATTACATACCCTACTGTTGCTCTCTTTTTAAGTATTTTGTACCCAGTTTCCACCTTGAACTTTGCTCTTTATGCCAAATGGAATCTGTTACGGTGGATAATCTAGACTAGTCATTCTCTTGCATTGACAATATATAATTTACTACTCCATTAAATCGAACAATCTCACAGTCACAATATTCTGAACTTTTAAAGATCCAGTGAAACATTGATCATGTTAGTTTTCATTGTGATATGTTAATTAACTTTCTCTGAGTTGAAAACAAGATAACATGAACAAGTTGAAGGCCATGACGTGTGTGAGCTACAGGAAACTGAGTGCATGTCAGCAGCCATGCATGTACTGTAGCTGGATCAGTGTGATGAGTCTTATAGTGTGTGTCCTGTTAACACAACCAGTATGTGACAGATCAAGAGGTACCAGTTGAGCACAACACCTCAAGGTTATATTATTTTGTTACCATTGGATGATTGAGGTGGGGTTTGAGAGATGTGAATACTATAGTGGGACCTTGTTTTGATGTGCTATAAAACTTAATTTCAGAATTAGGCTGTGAAATAACTATCCCCTTCAACTTCATCATATTCTAATACATCAATTTCCATGAATATCAAATTGACGGATCAGGTTTAGTATGTAAGTGACACTGATATAGTAATGTTTGTATGTTATTGAGGTAAGATAACTGATTGGCTGATTACCAAGTTGTTGTTTGTCAACTGGGAACCAAACTGGATGTTTATATGTGTATCAGTCAAACCTGGTGCCCTGCGGGCGTCAGTCAAACCTGGTGCCCTGTGGGTGTCAGTCAAACCTGGTGCCCTGTGGGCTTCAGTCAAACCTGGTACCCTGTGGGTATTAAGTCAAACCTGGTGCCTTGTGGGTGTCAGTCAAACCTGGTGCCCTGTGGGCGTCAGTCAAACCTGGTGCCCTGTGGGTGTCAGTCAAACCTGGTGCCCTGCGGTTGTCAGTCAAACCTGGTACCCTGTGGGTGTCAGTCAAACCTGGTACCCTGTGGGTATTAAGTCAAACCTGGTGCTCTGTGGGCATCAGTCAAACCTGGTACCCTGTGGGTATTAAGTCAAACCTGGTGCCCTGTGGGCGTCAGTCAAACCTGGTACCCTGTGGGTATTAAGTCAAACCTGGTGCCCTGTGGGTGTCAGTCAAACCTGGTGCCCTGCGGGCGTTAGTCAAACCTGGTACCCTGTGGGTATTAAGACAAACCTGGTACCCTGTGGGTGTCAGTCAAACCTGGTGCCCTGCGGGCGTCAGTCAAACCTGGTACCCTGTGGGTATTAAGTCAAACCTGGTGCCCTGTGGGTGTCAGTCAAACCTGGTGCCCTGCGGGCGTCAGTCAAACCTGGTACCCTGTGGGTATTAAGTCAAACCTGGTGCCCTGTGGGTGTCAGTCAAACCTGGTGCCCTGCGGGTGTCAGTCAAACCTGGTACCCTGTGGGTATTAAGTCAAACCTGGTGCCCTTTACAGAGATGCCACCAGTACACTTTTGGCTTGATAATACCGCTTTTGAGCCTAAAATGACATTATTACACTTGCCTCCCCAAATCACAATTTTTGACATTTTTCTAATGAATTACTTACATGCATTAACTATCACAGAGATCATATTGTTACTACACCAGTCATGGGGCGCATTCTAATTGAATATATGCCGATATTTCTTCAGAACACCACTCAAAAGACCACATTGTCTTCCTGCAAGTTAATAATAAATTGTCACATGATGAATTTGATTGATTAATGTGCAGAGCAGAAGAACCCTGGATCTCTTTTTTAACCAAACACAATAACCGTGGAGCTCTTTGTTTACCAAACACAACCGTGGAGCTCTTTGTTTGCCAAACACAACCCTGGAGCTCTTTGTTTACCAAACACAACCCTGGAGCTCTTTGTTTACCAAACACAACCCTGGATCTCTTTGTTTACCAAACACAACCCTGGATCTCTTTGTTTACCAAACACAACTCTGGATCTCTTTGTTTACCAAACACAACCCTGGATCTCTTTGTTTACCAAACACACAAGCCTGGAACTCTGTTTACCAAACACAACAACCCTGGAGCTCTGTTTACCAAACACACAAGCCTGGAGCTCTGTTTACCAAACACACAACCCTGGAGCTCTGTTTACCAAACACACAACCCTGGAACTCTGTTTACCAAACACAACAACCCTGGAGCTCTGTTTACCAAACACACAACCCTGGAACTCTTTGTTTACCAAACACACAAGCCTGGAACTCTTTGTTTACCAAACACACAAGCCTGGAACTCTTTGTTTACCAAACACACGAGCCTGGAACTCTTTGTTTACCAAACACAACAACCCTGGTACATTTTGTTTATCAGTGAATGAAACCTGGTATCCTTTCAGTGTCAGTACAAATAAACCTGGGACCCCATGTTTATCACGCTGGACAAACTGGATACCATGTGTGTCTCCAGCAGGACCCCATGTTTATCACGCTGGACAAACTGGATACCATGTGTGTCTCCAGCAGGACCCCATGTTTATCACGCTGGACAAACTGGATACCATGTGTGTCTCCAGCAGGACCCCATGTTTATCACGCTGGACAAACTGGATACCATGTGTGTCTCCAGCAGGACCCCATGTTTATCACGCTGGACAAACTGGATACCATGTGTGTCTCCAGCAGGACCCCATGTTTATCACGCTGGACAAACTGGATACCATGTGTGTCTCCAGCAGGACCCCATGTTTATCACGCTGGACAAACTGGATACCATGTGTGTCTCCAGCAGGACCCCATGTTTATCACGCTGGACAAACTGGATACCATGTGTATCTCCAGCAGGACAAGCCTTGCCCCTTCATTGTCTCAGAAGCACATGCATGTCAGCAAAAGTGCAGAGAGTGAAGAATGCCGCACGAACGTAACACTGACCTAACAGATTATTGACCATGAGACACTGAGCCTGATCGCATGATCAAGTGGTCTACCGGTGCCTGAGTAATAGCGTGTTCCATGATACAATGGAACCTCTGCATCTTGTGTATCAGATGTTGAAAATACCTGCTTGCTGAGTGTTGCTCAACTCAAGCTCACCAAATACACCGCCCTTAGAGATTCTAGACCTGGATTATCTTAATCTGATACTGATGACTCAACAGATTAGGTCTGACATATGATTGATTGGATTATGGGCTCCCTCAGACTGGTACATCAGACGTATCTCTACATACAAGCATCCCATGGGATTCTGGGTTAGATTCGGTCCCCAGCAACCTTAGCTGGTCGAGGAGGTGACTTAATGGATTGTGTGGTCAGCCTCGGTCTACTTCGTTGATGCATGTCATTGTACTCTGGCATTCTTCATAATATCTATCACTGGATCAATTATTTACAGGCGGCCATCATATAGCTGGAATATTTCTTTAAACACATAAACACAAAAAAAAAACCGAAAAAACACACACATATGTGATGTTTCATTTCTCCAACAATAGATGAGATTTGTAACATCCCATGTGCATCAAAGGCAGTTCAAGTTTGTAGTGGTCGGGCATACATGAGCTGAACTTGATCACATGCAGTAGTCTTTGTGGTGGTTTCAATGTTAGAAACAGCAGCCATATTTGTCAACTGATAGGTTGTTTTTTTCACACTTTTATCACCAAGTTAAACTGGAACATATAGATTACAAGTCTCTAATGGGTATTACCTGACAGTTGCTCCAACAAGATGTCTATTTTAAGTCGAACATTTAGAAACATGTAGCTGTCTATTGTCATCGGCATTCAAACAATCCTTTAGCTGTCAGGAATTTGTGCTTTCTGAGACCATTTTTTTTCTGAATGTATTCTTGTTTTGTTTTTTATGTTTAAACCATGGCTTCTACAAGAGATTGCAGATCATAAACATGAGACAAACTTGATAATGAGCAAACTTGAGACTACATGCCGCCATTAACACCTACACAAACTTTAACACCAACTTTCTGATACTTGTCAGTGGTTCTTCTGCAGATGTAGTTACATAGAGGTTATCACGCGAGTGTGTTTGGGGATGGTAAATATCCTGCATTCGGAATAACTTTGTATTTGGCAAGCCTTGGCTTTGTTTATTCATAACCTCTTTATCATATAATGTCATTCTTTAATTCTGTAGGGTGGTCGGGTAGCCTAGTGGTCACGCCGAAGACCCGGGTTCGATTCCCGACATGGGTACAATGTTTGAAGCCCATTTCTAGTGTCTCCCGCCGTGATATTGCTGGAATATTGCTAAAAGCGGCGTAAAACCATACTCACTCACTCACTCACTTTAATTCTGTGCTTGAAAATCGCTTTTCCCTCTCTCAAAAGCATTAATATTTATTACGTCACAGGGTAAGTGATGTGTCAGTCGGACAGTGACAGTAGCCAATATAGTTCCAACTGAAATCTGTTTCTTATGCACTGGCGAAGTAACATACGTAACACAAAAATTGTTTTTACTTGCATTTCGCGGCAATCCATCGATCTGTCCGCTAGAGTAACTGCCTTTGTCAAGGGAAGCTACTCTAACCCTTGTCTATGAGACGTCACGGCAAGGTTCAGACGTTGTTGACAGTTGACCTGTCCTGTCATAACGTTAAGAAGTGCAATCAGATGTACACACAGCGACAAAATGAAACAAGGTAACAATTCAAACATATTTCGGCCAAATCCAACCATTTTAA